TATCGATACATTATCCAGAAAGAGGCGGTTGTTGTTTTTTGTCATATCACTGGGAAGTGTGCTGTTTCCTCTTTTCCTCTCATTTCCCTTTCGTTCAGATTCCCCGCCTTACCGACACCCTCATTTCCTTCTACAATGAAGCATGTTTTCGTAATTTTAAGTAATATGACCCCATCGTTCGATCTTCTGCACTCTCTGATTTTCATTTCTTCACCCTTTATGGTCTCCTACGACTTGGTCTTGCCCTCATTAGATAATAGTTTTGTTGTTTAATGGCGTATACCGTAGCCTGTTGTAAAAGACATTCATCACTTTTCGCTGTTACCGTATTTACTCGTGTATTAGTCGACCTTTTATGACCAAACGATCAGCCCCAAAAAATCACCCTCGACTTATACACAAAGACCTGATTTGAGCAATCCAAGAAATTAGCATAAAATTCGCCTGAAGTCCGTTAGGTAGACCGAGTTTATAAAACCAGTTCTAGTTGTGTAAGAGTTTCGTCACTTTTTAGCGCATTCTTCCTCAACAAAAATGTTTGAAATAGTAAATTTTAAGAGGCTTAACAAAAAGCTACTTGAGCTGATTTCTATCGTGTCTTCGGACTGTGGAGCAGACATTTTTGCCTCCAGCTTCGCTGCTGTTAACGGTGCTGAACTTTCGTTTTCATCGAACGATTTCAGTGGCTTGGTGACCTGGCTCGCGCGGTCTTGTATGTTACGCGCGATCCTTCGAAGTTCTTCGGTTCTCCTTCGGTCTAATTAATCTCCCTTCAAAGTCAGCATTAAAATAAAGGCTATTTAAATGCAAGAAGGTTTCATTTTCACTGTGATTTACAAAATATGGTAAAATACTCCTTCAGTAAATCGAAGTGCTCGTATATGCGTAAATCGTGGTGATATCAACAAGTGCCAATAAACTTTAAAGCACACGGTTACATTTTGCTCTTAATTTTTTTGAATTCCCCGTGTTTTCAATACATTCTCGGAAATAAGAGATTAACTTCTTTGACTAGAAATGATGAAAAATCTGATTTTTGACCTTGAAAGTGAGGGGTCGACTTATACACGAGTAAATACGGTAGTCTGAAGTGCTACTTGTGTGATTTTTTCGGTGTTTTCGTGGAATGACAGTTTTGCAGATGAGTTCAGACTAACTTGACTATAATCATCCTCAGCTGTACGGAGATTTTGCTGATGAGTTTGATCTGTCCGAGTGTAAACTCGCCATCGTTCACTGTGCTGGACATTACGACCCAACCTTGATTGAGACGCTCTGGAGGGACATCATAGAAGCCGGTTTGTGATTTTCGTGTTAAGTTACTAAGTTGCACGACAAGGCTCTCAAACGTATCACAATTTCTTTTTTGAAAACAGCATGGTACTCAAAACCTAAATGACTATCGAGAAAGTGGTGAATTTTCCCAGAAAGTGCTCTCTGGCAGGACTTGTAACACTTCTACGTTTATTTTCTTCAATAGAGCTCCGTGACTCACTTCAGAATCCACCTAGTGATCGCATGGCAATTGTCAGTAAAAAGATTGCTTACTTAGGAAAGGTTTATGTCCATTCTGAGCGGTACTTTCCATTGGGTAAGTCATTACGTTACGGCCAGTGCATGACCATTCGTGACTGTTCATAGCCATGCCCGCTGTGCATAACCGTCATGGCTTGAATCACGCACGAATTTTTACTCAACAATGTTGCTCTGTGCCTTTCAGGGGCAATAATCCTTATGCTGGAAAAGAAGAGCGCCGAGTTGGTCTGGGACCCAACCTGGGTGTTTATGACTATGTTAGAGATGGGTATTCCATTCCCCGTGTTACACGCCATTTATGACAAACTGTTCAAAGCCAAGGTAAGTCAAAATATCACAAACAATGTAGCTTAGAGATGATTTCTTGGGACAAATTTATCAGCGACTGTATTTGGAATCTGCTTTACATTATGATCCCAGAATATGGCCCATCCAGCTTCTTGTAGCTCGTGGGAAACTCGTACTTTTTTTTTACCTGTCCCACGTTCATAAAATATGAAGGGTTAGTTATTTGGAAGTTTGGTATGAGGGAGGGGAGGGAAGGGTGCGCATTGGGTGAGGAGAAAACAATTTGAAAGGGTAAATTATTGTTAACTTTTAGTTATGTTTTCGTTTGTCTATGTTTTGAAGGATCAGTGTTGGCGAACGCAAGACAAGCCTCTTCACATCCTTGAAGTTATATATCATTTATTTATGAAATTTGTAAACACGCCCACCATTTCCCCCCCTCACGAGAGGTAAGGGCAACCTTTTCATTTGCCTCCATGTATTGGTTTATATATGTTCCCCAGGCCTTTCGCCACATTTTAGTTTACCCTGAAGTGCCATTTTCTGACTTTACTTTCAGACGAAAAATAGCAATTGCACTGTACGACGCATGCGCCACGTATCTGGTGGAACTACAGTCCAGTCTGTCACGTGACCCAAGTGTGCAAAACACGCTGGACAAATTTCAAGGATTGCAGAAGTGTCTAAAGCGTCTTTTGCACTGAATGACGTTAAGTCGACCGGAAATCGTGCAGATTTATTTTTAAATCTTGGCCAAGTTCTTTCAAACAGCTGTGACAGGGAGTCTTCAAGCCTGTTTCTTGGTAGTATTTAGGCTTACAAGCTATTTTTAAATCATCAGTATGTTGTAAATAAAAGTTTA